CCGCCGCCGTTGCCCTCTCCTCCTCAGACCGCCGCCGCCGCTGCTCTCTCCGCCGCCCTCTCCTCCGCCGCCGCCGCTGCCCTCTCCTCCGCCGCCGTCGGGCCCTTCCGACTCGTCCGTCCCATTTTTGAACGTGATCCTGAGAACGGTACCGAGGCTCAGCCCTCTCTAAATTTTTACCGTGTTGAATTTGAATTTGTCGTATTAATCGAACTCGATTTAGTTAAAGGTTAATTGTGCATAATCGATTGTGAATATTGTGCTCGATCGATTGTGGATATTGTGCTCGTTTCCTTAATTGATGGTGGATATTGTTGATAGTGAATATTGTGCTCAATCGATTGTGGATATTGTGCTCGTTTGTAAATATTGGTGGATATTGTTAATAGTGAATATTATGCTCGATTGTGAATATTGTGCTCGTTTGTAAATATTGGTGGATATTGTTGATAGTGAATATTATGCTCGATTGTGAATATTGTGCTCGTTGTAAATATTGGTGGATATTGTTGATAGTGAATATTATGCTCGATTGTGAATATTGTGCTCGTTTGTAAATATTGGTGGATATTGTTGATAGTGAATATTATGCTCGATTGTGAATATTTTGCTCGTTTGTAAATATTGGTGGATATTGTTGATAGAGAATACTATGCTCGATTATGAATATCGATGACTATAGGGTTACGATAAGAATAGGTGGAAACGAACTCGATTTAGTACAATTATAATTTGAAATCAAGGATTAATGACTAATTTTATTTATTTATATGATAAAACAGCTACGTTGTACTCAACAAACCAATATGCAACAAAAGCATAATTCAAAATGAACATATGGGAAATTCGTGAATAATTAAAACAGCTACGCTGTACTCAACAAACCAATATGCAACAAAAGCATAATTCAAACTGAACATGTGGGAAATTCGTGAATAATTAAAACAGCTATGCTGTACTCAACAAACCAATATACAGCACAAGCATAAGAAATTATAGTTGAATAAATCAATCGAATTTAAACGATCTACGTAATTATTTCCTTAATTGAATAATATTTATTAAATAATATATAAATCTCGGTCAATTCAAAATTAACATATATTACAATCTCGGTCATTTTTGCAGAAAATGACTTCGTCATCCTCGAACCCTCAACCCTACACCCCACACCCCGGCCCCAGTGACCCATCACTTCTATATCTTCAGAACCGCCACCGATCCAAGGCGGTATATGAGGACGCACCGGGGTTTCGCCACGGCGTGGTTAAGCCACGCCGTTCGGACACCCAGTTCTGGGCTGCCTTGGAGGGCAACAAGCAGAATGCCCGGACATGGGAGGCGATCGACAAGGCCGGATTCGGGCCTTTATTTCGGATGGGGCGGATCCCGACAAACAATCCCCTCATTACATGCCTGCTGGAGAGGTGGCGTCCGGAGACGCACACCTTCCACTTCGACTTCGGGGAGGCCACGATCACTCTCCAGGACGTTCAGATACTCTTTGGCCTCCCCGTCAGCGGGGAGGCGTGCTGGGGACAGACCGTACATCGGACTCCCCAAGAGTGGAGAAGTCATTGCCTGGACGCTCTAGGGTATCTCCCATATGTACAGGTATATTTTCACCTAAAACTTTTATTTGTTTATTTAGATTTTTTTATTATTATTATGTTTATGTATACTTAAGTCATAGGTCGCTTTTAATATATATATAAACATATTTCAAGGATGACGGGGTCCAGGACTACGACCCCAAGACTTGGGACATAAATGGCCAGTGCCTGTATTTCAGTAGTCTGGAAGAGGAGTGCAAGCGCCCTCTGGAGGATGGACTCCCTACATCAGAGTACGAGAAGAGGGCGAGAGCTCTGATACTCTGGTGTATTGGGTCCTTCTTCATCCCCGACCATTGGGCCAACGGAGTCAACCTCTACTGGTTGTCCCTGTTGAATGTCATCGATGCCATTCCGGGGTACAGCTGGGGTGGAGCGCTTCTGGCCAGGGTATATAGAGCGCTCTGCGACGCCTACGAGACGCGGGAAAAATATATCAAGAGCTGCGTGCAGTTGATTCAGGTAAATTTATTTACTTGTTAATTGAAAATTAATTTTATTTATTGTAAATTACAATAATATGTGCTAAAAAATGTATATGTCCATATGTGCAGGTTTGGGCATGGGAACGCATCCCTCGTGTTCGCCCATTAATGACAAGAACACATTTCGGCTCTCAGGCTGGTTGTCCCTTGGGTGCAAGGTAATAATAACATTTATTTATTTTCAACACTTAAGTTATTTCAATTATCAAAATTTGTAATTACAAATAAATTTTTTCTGTGATTTTTAAGGTGGTTGGGATCGAGGGACATGAGACACCTGGTGACGGGCACGGCTGCCATCCGAGATCATCTGAGTGGCCTGAGAGAGACTGATGTAAGTTTCTTAGGTCATAATAATAAATAATTATTATTTTTTTAATTCTATTTTTTATTAAATTTATTAATAATTCTATAAATATTTTTTTTTTCACAGTTCGATTGGGCACCCTATCAGACGTACATAGACGAGGGTCGGCTCCCGGAAGTGTGCACACGAGACCGACATCTCTGGATGTACAAGGGGTGGATCTTCTGCTGGAACATCGCAGAACCCCACGAGCCTGATAGGGTGCTCCGCCAGTTTCGGTGCCACCAGCCCATCCCCCAACAGCCGCTCATTACTAGTCTGGCCGACTGGGACAACCGCCACAAGGGCCAGGGCATGACTGGGAGGGCATACACCGATTGGCAGGCCTTCCATGCTGATCTTGGGAGGATCTGGACCGAAGAGAGAGATCAGAACGTCCTCCCAGATGTCCCGGTGGATCCCTTCCTGCAGTCGGCAGATGGGTACATTGATTGGTTTCACAGTAGGACTGTGAGACTATTCAATGACCCCAACAACTACGCGGCGATCTCACAGGACGGCGGGTTTCAGCCATATGCCGACCGGGAGAAGTGTCAGGTAACTGTCTGCTATTTTGTGATATTTTTTATTATTATTATTAATATTATTGAAGTAATTATTATTATTATTATTTTTAATATTTGATAGTTATTTGAATTTTATTTTGCAGTTTTCGGGTACGGAGGTGGCGTATAACATGCTAACGAACATTGAAGACATTGATACGCTACCTCCCCGAGCGCAGTCACAGTTCCAGCAAGCCCAGGAACTTCTGTACGCTTCTCTGACTGTTGGGGGTCAGTCGGTCACACAAGGGGCGTCGTCGGAGCAAATTCTATCTCAAGATGAGTACGCCCCACCCCAGCATACACAGTCTCAGCGGGCGAGGCATAGACCGGCGCCCCACATTGGTGGAGGGAGAAGACGCCGTGACCGCGAACCCGCCGGGAATGAAGAAGACGAAGAAGGTGAGATTTTTTTATTTAACTACAAATATATATATTTTTTGTGTTTCTTTTTATTTATTTGTCCGGTTGAATTATTGATTTTTTACAAAAATTAATTAATTAGGTGGACAAGAAGAAGAAGAACCAACCACGCCTGGACCGACCGCAGGATCGTCTTCTTTGGTACCGGGGCCTCGGAGAGGGTCCCGAAGACGCGTGACTAGGAAACCATTTACTCCTAGTTAGTTTGTTTTTGTATTCTGTGATTTTGTGGACATTTTCTTTTTTTTTTTTTTTTTTTTTTGTACTGGATTTTCAAATATTTATTCTTGATGGTTTTGAGTACATATTTTGTGGTTCACTTTTTTTTTGTCGGTACTTATGGTTGTCTTTTTCTATATAGTGTTTCATATAACATATATGTATGTATGCTAGATTTTATCATTTGACGAATGAATTGATATTAAAGTGATATTATTTTGTGTTCAAAATTTTAAATCAAAATTTACAAAACATCTTCATAATGACTTAAAAAAAATTAAAAAAAAAATTAAATACATAAAAACGGATTTTCAAAATCCGTTTTTATAAAACAAAAAATAAAAAAATAGTATATATATAAAAACGGATGTTCGGAATCCGTTTTTATATGTAAAAACGGATTTTCAAAATCCGTTTTACATAAAACGGATTTTGGTAATTCGTTTTTTGTTGTATTAATTAAGGCTAATTACATCATTATGAAAAACGGATTCTCAAAATCCGTTTTTCTGGTAAAAACGGATTCTGAAAATCCGTTTTTAGTTCAAAAACGGATTCTCAAAATCCGGCCGTTTTACTTTTTTCCACAACTTTTTTTTTTCCACAGATATTTTTTTTTTTAGATAAATAAATGATCCGGCAGTTGCGCCTCATTCAACATATGTTAAATCACACATATATTTGCGCCAATAATTCATTCCCAGCAGGCACGAAAGAATCCATCAAACACAATTATTTCATGGTTTTCGGGTGCGAAGAAAATTTAATTCGCAGCAACTATAATCGGATCGACATATCACAATGCAAAAGCAATTCACACCGGTATGCAATACAGATTTAATTGGCAAAATAATCATACATAAACACATGCTCTGATACCAAATGTAAGAAATTTAACGGGTATATTCACGACTATTAAACAGAATTGAATAAATCCTAAGCATGTAATTCTATAGGATCTTTGCATAAATTAAATTGCACATAGTTCTTCCCTGTTTTCTTGATCTATAATCCAGTTTACAGTCCTTCCCTGTTTTCTTGATCTATGATGTTGATCTGCGATCCTCTTCTTTGTAATCTCCAATGATGGATTTGTCTTTGCATTTAAATTGTTTCTCTTTCCCGCGTCTCTCGTCTTTCCATAAAAACCTTGATATTGAGAACTTTATTCTCGTATGAGCCGAGAGAGAGGGGAATGTAGTAATATATATAGAAGGAGACCTACCATCCTAATTCTACTCACATTCCTCATGTTCTAACTTAACTTACTGTCCAAGTCAAACATCACAAATTGGACGCTTTAATATTAGAACATTAATAATCCACTAAATACATATTCACCTTAGTTAAGTTTGACTATAAATTGAATTAGGTTCAACTAATTATATGGTCTACAATAATAGAATAATATAAAATATTATTACAGCATTTGCCTGAACACCCGTAAACTTGAACTATGTTCGAATCAATAAAATTGAAGCAAAACTCATTCAATTGTATATATTTTTTTTGTTTAATAGAGGCTTGAAAAACTTGGCTCGTCAAGCTTGAGCAACTATTAAAAATCCGAGCTCAACTCAATACAGTCCTGCTCATTGAAAATACATATTCTGAGAATACGTTTTTCAGATGGTTCCGTAGCATTTTCCCAACTCAATAATGCCATCGTTGGACCCGTTTCCTTTGTAACCATACTTTCAAAACCAGCCGGAGAAAAGGCAACAACCACTAACAAGACAAGAATCAAATAGAAATGTAAAATCCGGACAATTAGGCAAAGACAGAAAGTAAAAGGCAGGAATGTTTAGGTTCTCGAAAAGCACATTTCACACAAGGAAAATAACAA